ATAAACTCATATATATTTATAATGAACAATCATATCTAAAAATTAAATATATTTTAATGCAAAAAAGAATGCCATATTTTATAGCATAACTATGTATGATTATTGAAGAAGTGTAGCATGTCAATCTTTTTACGAAAATTAGATAGTGAATTAAAGGGTTAATTGACATTTACTTTAATTGGTACCTTTTTTTGCTTTTATTATTTTATGATTTCTTCCCTATATAATAGGAATTGGGGTTTGGTAATTCACTTTTAATTTTTTTAGTTAGGTACTCAAATGGGTTACACTCGACCACCTTGTGATTATGACATATAGTACAGTGTCGACCGTGGTCGAATGACAATGAGAATCAAAGCATGTGTTACATTCGAATGGATGGAAGTATGCATTTCAAGATTTTATTGTTTATAATCATATAACACCCATAGTAGTTTGGCGGACCAGTTAGAATAATTAGCTCGGGTTAATCGGTCCAAGATAGATTCTAGCTCGGTAACAAGGTTAAAAACTCCGTTGAGGAGTTCGGTATAGCACCTTGGGGTATGGGTCGAGTTCTGCTGTGAGCTAGTAAGTTGGTTCTACTGAGAGCTCGACTAGAGAATGGATACTTACGACCTAGAGGTCGAACAGTAGAGGTTGTACGACGACTTAGTAAGAAATATGGCAGGAGAGTCGTGAGATCAGTACGATGAACTAATGACCTACTAAGTCATGGTAAAGAAGAAAACATCCTATTAGCATAATAAGTATATCTAGGGGTGAGCATCGGTGCGGTTCGGTCAAAAACCGCACCGCACCGAAAAAAAACGAAAACCAAATTTTTAATTTTTTTTCACCGAACCGCACCGCTATAGAAGGAAAAACCAAACCGCACCGAACCGAAAATTTCGGTTCGGTGTGGTTCGGTTTTTCGGTTAACCTAAATTAAAAATATAACCACCAATTAATGTTATGTAAGTAAAATTATAAAAATTAAGGTGATATTTTATTAAAAAATAAAAAAGTGATATTTTATGACATACGGTGCGGTTCGGTTAAAACCGCGCCCTTCGGACAGAAAATCGAACCGCACCAAAACACTTGCAGTTTTTCAAAACTCAAACCGCACTGATAACCGAACTTACCAAAAACCGCACCGAACCGCACCGAATAGCTCGGTTCGGCGCGGTTTTTCAGTTTCGGCTCGATTTTGCTCACCCCTAAGTATATCTCGCTAAGAAGTTGAAAAATCTCACGTGCCATACCAAAAAGAAAAAAAAAAAAAAAGATATGGGGGATCTCTTTACCAGTAATGAGGTGCTAGATGGTAATCTTCTTATAAAAAGAGATTATCAGGTTAAATTAGCCTGTAGTTTATATGTACATTCGAAATTCAATTCACGAGCAAGATCAAACTTAAACGTAGGAGGTTGTTCCACTCGGACTCCCCCAACACGTTTTGCTGGTCACCAGAGTTTAGGCTAAAGAACGGTTCGTGACACTACTTGTCCAAAACCCGATTTATGGTAATTTGCACATCACATAGGATCATGTTATCCAACCAAATATAATCTACCAAATGTTGCGAAACTGAAAGGGGAAATTCTATTGGAAGGCCTAACTTTTAGTATATGTATTAATATAAGGCCTGAATTTTATACTTTTTCAACTGAAGTCTTACATTTTAGGTTATTCTCACTTTAAGGATTACTTTTTAGTTAACTTTTCATTATAAGGTCCAACTAACTTTACTTGTTCATATAAATATGTAAAACAATTATTATGTGAATAATTTTTATTATTATTATTATTATTATTATTATTATTTATATTTTACATACTCATAATAAAAAATAATAAATATCTTTAGAAAAAGTAAATTAAGTAAAAATGAAATTATATAAATTACAATGATAAAACATTGGAATTACAATGATGGGAAACTAAGATAGTAAAATTATATTAGTAAAAAATGAAACTATATAAACATCTATTTTCACTGATGTAATTTTTCATTGTTAAACTTTTTGCATAAATATAATTTATATAGCATCATTGTAATTTATATAGTTTTATTTTTTATTAATATAATTTTACTAACGATATTAATTATTTTTTTATTATAAGTATATAAAATATAAATTACAAAATAATAATAATAATGATAATAATAATATTTCTATTCACATAATAGTTATTTTACATATTTATATGAAAAAGTAAAGTTAGTTGAGTCTTATAATGAAAAGTTAACTAAAAAGTAAGCCTTAAAGTGAGAATAATCTAAAATGTAAGTATTCCTTAAAAAAAATAAAAATTCATGCCTTAAATTAATATATATACTAAAAGTTGAGTCTTCCAATGAAATTTCTCGAAAATGTATAATCAGAATTTCGAGCTCAACTCAAAGACTATTGCTAAGAAACGTGCTTGCACATAACGAGCACAAACTTGAAATTGTCAAGATTAAATAAGCAATAACAAAAGTTACACACTGAAAAAACCAATATTCAGACATTATTAGGCCCTTTGCTCAATTCAAGATCAGCCGTTTAAAATGGGCTCAAAATTTAAATCCTCACCGTCAAATTTAAGAAACAAATCTCGCAGAAGGTACAACAATTCTACACCGCTAGTTAATTCCTCACGTTATTATACTCTCGCAAAAAAAAAAAAAAAATAAATAAAAAATAAAAATAAATCGAGAAATATACAGCTCTACAACAGTACAGTACGCCTCTCATGAGGACGACCGCACACAATCACCTCCCTTACCGGCGTCACTTTCCCATTTTCACTTTTTTTTTTTTTCAGCAGACGTAAAATTCGGCGAGCTCGCTCAGCGACTCCGGCTGGGGATCGGCGTTTTCCAGCATCCAGAGGAGGTGCTCGAACATAACGACCTCGCAGCCGACGACGATCGCGTCTTCCTCCTCACCGCCGCTGCCGGAGCGCCGATCGACGAGCTCGCGGAAGAGCGGATTTTCCGAAACGTAGGCAGGGACGAGGTACCTCCGCCGAGACTTCCCGACGTAGACAGGGCGGAGATCCTCGCCGCCGCTTCCGGCGGCGGCGGTCGGGTCGAACGAGTCGTCGTGGGACGAGGCGTGCCTGGCGGAGATGGATTCCGTGCGACCGAGTTTGAAGGACTGCATTTTCTTTAGCACGGACTTTATTTTGGTGAGCTTTCCTCCTTTCGCCATTGTTGTTGTGAGATTTTGAGAAAATTGGAGAAGAAGAAGGTGGGGTATTTATAGGGGGTTTTAAGGGGTAAAAGTGTAAATAGTGGTACTGTCAGTGTCAGCTGTGTCAATCACAAATGGCTGGAAAAATGGGGAGCCAATTGGGCCGGGCCCAAAGGTTTGTTTTTGCTCTACGAGGAGGCAAAACCGTCTGCGGCTCTATGCAACATCTTATCTTTTTTTTTTTT